ATACACACATATATATATATATAGGCCTATAACATGTTTTCGTGCACCGTCCATATTTCATTTTGATTGAATCGTTAATGTATTACTGTATTATGCAAAGTCGTTACATAACTATTATTTATTAATGAATAATTATTTTCTTAATTGTATGATCATCTATATTTTTGTACGTTTCCTTATAATTTTTGAATTTGTCATTTTCTGTATTTAATGTATATATAAACAGATAATCAATTTGGATTTTTTACATTCAACTTGTATATAGCTAACTTATTTATTCCTCGTTTATTGAATTATATATAGGCCATCCATTAATTTATTGATTTGCCTAATTTGTCTGTCGGCGAATTGTCCAGTCGGTGGATTCGATTTCAGCTAATTCCGGTGTCTGAATTTTCTTTCGGTCAACTGTCCTGTCGGCCAAACATCCGTCGGCAAACTGGCATTTGGTGAAATGTCCTAGTACGACGAAGAATCATCAATCACATAAAAAAAATAAATTGTCGGCGAAATGTCTGTCGGCAAATTGGTTGTCGGCGAATTCGATTTCGCCGAATTCCGATGTCTGAATTTTCTTTCGGTCAACTGTCCTGTCGGCCAAACATCCATCGGCAAACTGGCATTCGGTGAAATGTCCTAGTACGACGAAGAATCATCAATCACATCACAAAAAATAAATTGTCGGCGAATCGTCCAGTCGGCGAATTCAATTTCGGCGAATTCCAGTGTCGGTAAATTTCTTTCGGTCAACTGTCTGTTGGCCAAACGTCCGTCGGCAAACTGGCATTCGGCGAAATGTCCTAGTACCGAAAGAAAGAAAACAAACTTAAAAAGGTGAAAGGAGATTACTAAATTTACGGTAATTATTTCAAAGTGCGCCCTCACTAAACATCACGAAAATGCTTTTTAAAAGAATAGGCATACTACCGGCTAAATAAACACTGCCTAATTATTTAGGCTCTAGGTCTATGAGTGTACTGACTGAACTAACTGAAGTTTCACATCTATTTTTAGCATTTATGCAAAGTTTCTGTTATGATTATATTCAAGCAGATATGAAACTGAATTTTTTAATTAAATAAACATTTATTGTAGGAAAGTGTTGAAAGACAGAAGAAACTGAACAGCAAAAGGCAACATCCAGATGATGCTAAGTATGGTGTGAACGCTTTTTCTGATTTAACTCCAGATGAATTTGCTGAACACTATCTTGGTATTTACCAACGAGTACCAGCATCAACGAGCTCTGGTTATGTACCTTCATCAAAAGAGGTTGATAAAATACCATCTAAATTTTCATTGTGAGTGACTGATTTTTAAGGCCAGCAATCTTAGGGCAAATAGAAAAATTTATTTATTTTAACAGCTTGAAAAAGCAATGCAATTTTGTGACAGGAAATACATTCTTTAAAAAAACAATAAAATTAAATAAGTTTTTATACAATATTTACAGTATTCTTGCCAAATAAAAACAGTCCCTCTCTCATTAATAAAAAAAAAGGAATATTCTATTGTACCGAATAAAAAAATTTAAAAAAAACACCCACCCTTATTACTTTTTTTTTTTTTTTTCAAAATTGGAGTTGTTCATGCTTTGCAAATATATTATGATTTTTGCTCATGAAAGATTATATATAATATAATGCATTACTATTATCTTTTACAGAGAGGGTAAGGGTGTTTTGACTTCAGTACGTGACCAAGGTGCGGTGAGTTCGCCTTTATTATTCATTAGAATAGGGATTTAGTTTTGCATTCTCAATACTCGCACCTCACCAGTCTGTAACTCCGGTTTATATAAACTATTAGAATATATAAATTTTTAAGGTAATAAATGATGCAAAGTGTATAACAAAAATGTATAAAATTTCACAACAATTAGAACATTTAATTAGTTTATTTTGTGAATATAATACCTGTATAATTTATTTCATTATTATTACTAATTAATATTATTAATTTTTTATATAATTTTTTTGAATACAACATTTCTAAAAGTGTTTTCTCTGTTTTTTCCCATATGGTGGCGCTATTAATACACTAGTGTGGAGGATGCTGGTAAGCATGAATCATTCTCTATTAAACATGTGACATGCCCAAATATGGTCATGATGACATCACACCATTATCACATATAAGCACATCATGACTATATATGGGCATACAACTGTGAATAGCCCTTTTTTTTTGGCCCATAGCTTGTTCTGGTCCAGTTGATTTGCTGGTAACCACACAAATCTCACAAGTTTGAGTAGAGGAATTGGAAAATAAGTATTACAGTTGAACTTGCCTAAATCAAATCCAAAATGTGAGATAAATTTTGACGTAACACATTATCAATTAATGGAAATCACAACAATTTGGCATGTAAAATAAGATCAACTTAGAAATTAATTGACGTAGGCACAGTCGACTATACAAGTTTAACTGTATATGTTAAAAAAAGAAGCGACAGCCAAAAATGAAGTAGGCGGGAACTAATTAATATTTTTTACTGGCCTTTGCAAAGTATCATTGTGTTTTGAATTGACAGTGCATTCTCCAATTCGAGACGCCTCTAATTCTAAGACCTCTTTAATTCACAGCCACTTATTCAAAGAAGCAAATAACAATCTTCAAGCCTTTTCAGAAAGCTAACCCTCTAATTGCAGACCGAACCCTGAGACCACAAGATCAGGTCCATCTGTTGCAGGGCCTTCCTATAGGGTTAAACCTTTTTCCTATAAATTAAATTTTTAAAAATAACATTAATAATCTGCAGATGGAAGTGGCATAAGCGGTTTTCGGCATCAAGTTCTACCAATATCGGCACAGGTTCCCGGCCGGCTTGCTCCTATAGTTCTGGTGGTGGAACAAGTCTTCTCTGATAAGGACTATAAACCGTAGGCCCAGTGTACACAAATGCTCATGTGCACTTTAAAGAACCCAGT